TATGGAGGGTACATATGTGCGTGCTCCAATCCCTCTGTAAAAGCAGAAGCTCTGGGAAAAGTAACTTAGAAACCAAGTAGAAAAACTAGGTGTCAAATCTAATTAACGTCTGTCAATCAAATGTGCTCCGCGTGGCAATAATAACCCAATGCAAATGTCACGGCAGGGTTGTACAAACATTTATAAAGAGGAGTAAATTCTCTTTGGGTGGGTAATATTCAGCTGACAAGTTTATCACTGTACTGCCTCTGAAGAGCTGGGGAATGTTATCCTGGAGACAAGCCAAGGCAAGGCCCACAAGCCCACAATGGCGTTCTTATTAAAGGGTGTAACTCAAACGCCTCATAAAAGCTAAGGTTATAAACGCAAGAGTGGACAGCACAAATACACAAACACACTCATGCTAAATCCTCGACTTATGAGCTCATTACGGTGGATTTGCGGAGGATGGCATTTTTAAAACAAAGTGATTCTAGGTAAATTTATGTTTTTGTTATTTCAAATGCTGAATTTGTTTATTGCGACTCATGTGTTTTCTGGGTTTGATTATTTGCATTAAGCATATTGTTTAGCTTCTGGAGGTCTTAGATTGCAAAATCCCTTAGTCAGCACAAGTCACAACAGCAAATGCTAAAATCCCACCTAGACCACAGCTCACATCACATTAACCAAAACCCTACATCACAGATCTTTCCGTTTCAAGGACAAATTCTCATTCAAAAGCTTAATGTCACTTGCTTCCGAAAAATCCAAATAATAATGTTTCCTACTGTATCCTACTTCCTGGTATTAAATACAACTAAAAGTTCAGTTGTAAAAAGTGAGTTCTTTCAACTGACATTTTTAAGCAAGGTGAAGCCTTCGAATCAAAAAGTAGTCCGTGCCTTAATTATTTTGCAACTACTTATGGGATTTCATAACACTTTGAAGCAACTTTTGTTAAAGTTAAACTCATCATTCTATCAATGTGCAGAAGCCAGTACTTTTCCCTTGTTTTGTCTATCTGAAGGCCAAGCTACAAGCACACCGTGGCAGCTGCTGATTGGAGGTCTCCATGCCTCCGCTCTGTATAATACACTTGCATTCTCTTGTATCTGTGATCGTGTGCTTTGATCGTGCTGTCTCTACCATCGACAATAAAACATGTCTTCTGTCTGAATGAAAGACGCGATCCCAGACTATGTCATCTTCTTCAGGTGGTGGAGAATGCGGGCATTGTCTGTAACATCTAGAGAACAGGAGACTACTTTTTTTTTTACACAAAAAGTGTTTTTTTTTTAAGCCAAAACTGAGAAACCTCAAGAGAATGCATCTGGACCAGCACACATGGACAATCTGCACAGCCCCTGATTCCACTCAGGCAGTGAGCTGCTGAGACATGGACAACACCAGCGTCCTCTTTTGCATGGACATCATTTGGAAAAATTGGATTACACAATTTGGACATGATTTGGAACAATTGGATTTCTGAATTTGGACATAATTTGGACTGAATTGGATTGCTGAATCTGGACACTGAAGCTGAAACGTGTGATTGAAAGACACGTCACAGAAGAATTCATGGCTCGACACAAATGCAGCCTGAAGAAACCAACACGGAGAAGTGGGAGAGACTGTTTTCAAAGCAATATCTGGAACCATCGACTGATGAAGTTTGGTATTTTACTGAAGATTGTTGACAAGTTTTATGAAAGATCTGAACATGTTTTATGAGTTTTTGAAGTATTCCGAGTTCTGAGTTTTTTGAGGTACCGAGTGAAGTACAGAGTTTATGAGTTTTGAAGTATTGAGTTATTATGTTATGTTGCTGTTTATCAATCCTGATGGTCACACGTGAATGTATGACCAGAGGGGGGAATATGGGATTTCATAACACTTTGAAGCAACTTTTGTTAAAGTTAAACTCATCATTCTATCAATGTGCAGAAGCCAGTACTTTTCCCTTGTTTTGTCTATCTGAAGGCCAAGCTACAAGCACACCGTGGCAGCTGCTGATTGGAGGTCTCCATGCCTCCGCTCTGTATAATACACTTGCATTCTCTTGTATCTGTGATCGTGTGCTTTGATCGTGCTGTCTCTACCATCGACAATAAAACATGTCTTCTGTCTGAATGAAAGACGCGATCCCAGACTATGTCATCTTCTTCATACTGTAACTCTTTATTTGGGCCTTGACCAGTCCTCCTAATGCAGGCCTTCCTGCTGCATGAAAGCTTACACGGACGCCAGAACCACATGAATCATGTTCAGGCCTGTTTGCTTCATACTATGCTGCACTATGAGCTATTTAGTAAACAATAAAACAGTTAACTCACAGTAAGTTGTAACCCCGCTCCCATGTCTATGTGGAGTGAGAGACAAGTGCCCAAAATAACAACTGTAAACCGCTTTTTGACTCTGGTCTGGGAAAGGCGGCATAATACTTACTTAATCGATAGAAAGGTCAGAAAAATAGTCAACAATTACCCAACACTCTATATGGAGAGCAATGCCATGTTATAACCACATGGTAGGGTTTCCTTTTATGGAATGTGGATGGTTTTGTTTGACTGTTTCATTATGAGACAATCTGCCAGAGAAAATACAAGAAGAACACTTAGATTCCCAGGCAAAATTCCAAGGAGTCAAAATATGCCAAGTGTGTCAGTACTACTTTGCAAATGAAATCATGCTTTTTTCAAACCAAACAAACTGTGCTTCATTTTCAAGAATAATGTAGTCGCCCTCGAACAGAGCAGAGTCAAGGAAGTGCTGCCGGCAACATGGAGCCTTTTCTCTTTACATGTGAGTCAAAGCAGACTCTCTCAATCCGCATGGCATGATTTGGGCTATGTTCGGCTCACATTGCTCTGTCAGAATTGGGTTATGTTTGGTTGAGTCAGATAGGTCGCACACTCGGCAGGAAGTGTAAACAGTAGCTGACCCCGGGGCGGTCAGAAAAACAAGTGCCATCAGGTTTCTTCTTTACATCACAATACAAGCTTAGAGGCTCTCTGTTAAAGTATTTTACATTATTTACTGTTTCAGGAACTGGAGTTGGAGATGGGTGGGAGTCGTGGGACATTTGTCAACAAAGCATCTCCAGTGTTTTAACAATTCAACAGTGACACTAAGATGTTTGCATTGTCCGTTTGCATGGTCTGTTTGTTTGTTCTTGTTTGTGTTTTGTAGATGAAATAAAAAAAGGTTTTATGCATCTCAAGATACATTGATAAAATATGAGTAAAAGAAATATCCAAGACACTCTTGACTCTAAATACAAATCATTTCATAAGTAGGGACGTGCATGCTCGTTTAGGCCTTCTTTACAGGTCTACAGTGTACCAGGTGAGATTTAGCTGCCATCAGTACCTGTCATATCACTTTAAAGGAGCTATACCCGTTTCTGCAAGTTTGAATGTTTAGCCCCGCCCCCAACTCGCTCACAGGCTTCTCATTTCCCCCACGCTCTCCTCCCACGGAGCCATCTAGTTTTATTTGCGATCTGATACGTATGCTAACGTTAGCATTAGCACAACTTCTTGTAAGCTGTACAACAATCACTGATGAAATGGTACAAAAGCAACGCACTGCTAACAACATATATAACTGAAAGATTACAGCTGTTTTCACATCTGAATGTAGTCGGAGCGTAGATAGTCCGAGCGTAGATAGTCGGAGCGTAGATAGTCCGAGCGTAGATAGTCCGAGAGTAGATAGTCGGAGCGTAGATAGTCCGAGCGTAGATAGTCGGAGCGTAGATAGTCGGAGCGTAGATAGTCCGAGCGTAGATAGTCTGAGCGTAGATAGTCGGAGCGTAGATAGTCGGAGCGTAGATAGTCCGAGCGTAGATAGTCTGAGCGTAGATAGTCCGAGCGCAGATAGTCCGAGCCCAGATAGTCCGAGCCCAGATAGTCGGAGCGTAGATAGTCCGAGCGTAGATAGTCGGAGCGTAGATAGTCGGAGCGTAGATAGTCGGAGCGTAGATAGTCGGAGCGTAGATAGTCCGAGCGTAGATAGTCCGAGCGTAGATAGTCGGAGCGTAGATAGTCCGAGCGTAGATAGTCGGAGCGTAGATAGTCGGAGCGTAGATAGTCGGAGCGTAGATAGTCGGAGCGTAGATAGTCGGAGCGCAGAAAGTCCGAGCGTAGATAGTCCGAGCGTAGATAGTCCGAGCGTAGATAGTCCGAGCGGAGATAGTCCGAGCTTAGATAGTCCGAGCTTAGATAGTCCGAGCTTAGATAGTCCGAGCGTAGATAGTCCGAGCTTAGATAGTCCGAGCTTAGATAGTCCGAGCTTAGATAGTCCGAGCGCAGATAGTCCGAGCGTAGATAGTCCGAGCGTAGATAGTCCGAGCGTAGATAGTCCGAGGCGGTCCCGCAGGTCTCTCCCATAGACCAGTCTCTCCAGAGGATACGATGTAAGCTAGCTCTGTTCAGGGCTTGGTTTCTTCTTTGATCATGTTGTGGCTTTAGTCCCTCTTCTCTTCCTCACTGTTGTGTGGTTTGGGCTGTTTTGCTGTGTTATAGCCACTTATGCTAACATGCTACTGTGTTTTCATTACAAAAAAAATCGGGTATAGCTTCTTTAAATAACTCATCGTTTTGTATTTATAGACTGAAACTGTCTTGTTTTTTAGCTGGAAAAGATATTAACTTATTAGTGTACATCAAGCGCAGACTGGCAATGTGTGCGCGGAAATTGGGACGGATCAAAGAAGCTGTGAAGATGATGAGAGATGTGAGTTTATCAATGAATCAGGATCGTACATGTCTCTGGATGCAGGTCTCATATCTACCACCTTCATGTCTCTTTCAGTTAATGAAGGAGTTCCCATTATTAGGAATGCTAAACATCCATGAAAATCTCTTGGAAGCACTTTTAGAGCTGCAGGCGTATGCGGATGTCCAAGCTGTTCTTGCCAAATATGATGGTACAGTATCTATCTTTAAATCCCCTTTTTGTGGAGAATGTTTTTGTTCATAAATCTGTGGTGTCTGATTGTTTCACAGATATCAGTTTGCCAAAATCAGCCACAATATGCTACACGTCAGCCTTATTAAAAGCAAGGGCGGTGTCAGATAAGTACGCTACAACCCTTTTCAATGCTTTTAGATTTGTGTTGCTGTTAAACTACGTACAGCTAACTATGTTCATGTGGTTTTATGCTAGGTTCTCCCCAGAGGCAGCATCCAGACGAGGACTCAGCACAGCAGAGATGAACGCCGTGGAGGCCATACACAGAGCTGTCGAGTTTAATCCACACGTGCCAAAGGTCAGTCCTCCATTCATTCACAATCTCCAACAATATATACGTTTGCTTTTAGTGGTACAAGATGCGGCAAATTTCACTGCTAATTTCCAGACAACAATTAATCAATAAGTATTACCCACAAACTTTGATTTATTTAGAAATACAGTTTTAATACCATTTTATATTAGAAGAGAACTACTAAAGGTTTCAAAATCTGTTGTTGTTTTTTTTGTCTGATCCCCCCAAATCGAAATAACCCCATAGCAACGCCCTTAGAGACGAAAAAACTTGACAGCCCTTGGTGACGTCAGAGTGGGTATGTTTCAACGCTGTAAGTTGTTTACAATTTGGTATTCGTTCTTTTTTTGCGGATATTCAAGATGACAAGGCCGTGTACAGCGAGTCTGACATAAATACTAGATTGTAACAGTTCGTTGTCATTGAGATAGTCCAGTGGTTGTGTCGATGGACTGTCAATCCAGATATTGGGGTTCAAATCCCACCTCAGACACATTTTCACTCTCAAAACGGCAATTTATGTGTAGTGAGCAATTGTCACCTGTAGAGGGCAGTATTGTGTTGGGCATCAGTGGAGAGAAGAGAGAAAAGGCAGTCCTGTGGCATAGATCCATGGTTTTCAATGCATGGGCGTTACCCGCTGTGATGTCACACACAGGTTAGAGCATAGACAGCTTAAATTCATGAAAAACACGTTCTTTTTATAAAATATAGGATATTTTTTGCCGGAATCTATTTCAGATTGACATTGTCATGCAATTTTGATATCCACAATAAAAAAAAAAAAAAGCGGCATAAGGTCTTTAAAAACAATACTTACTTTTGACCAGCAGGTGTCAGTCTTTGCCCTGTGCTTTCTTGTATTCACAGGCAGTATTTTCATTTCAACACTCTCATTATCAAACTCACAAATAAGGCCACACATCCCTGCAGTCTGGACTTAGCATGCTGGATAAAAAATAAGCAAAATGTGAAAACTGTGGAAAAAAATCTGCACAGTTTATAGACACCTCTTGGGAGCAACATAGCTGTGCGGATTTTAACCCAATATAACCATAACACAAGCCATTTAAATCATGTTAGTCGTCTTCAATACACACATAAGAACTCGTGAGAGACCTTTTAGTGTCTGTTACGTCTTTGAATTAGCTTTTGTGAACGATAAACGTCAACCTCGCCAGTGATTCTGCCTTTCAAAGGTGGAATCACAGGCATAGTCAAAGGCCCCCCATCTGCCATGTCCCCGCTCTCTCTGTTCTGGGCCCCACGGCATCTCGCTCTCCGTCATCACCTGCCCACAACCTGTTTCACCGGCTTATGTGTCTTGTCTGCGCCAACGTACTATTTGTAGAGGTGAATATAAGACGGTAGCGTGATAGAAAGTATATGAAATAGGCCGTGGGTGATTTAGGGCCGGTGCAGTGTTGTGTCTGCCGCTCAAAGGAGGTGTGATGTTATGGGTTTTCTGAGGTGAGCCGCACACCTGTGGCTACCCGTGGCCTGTCAAGTCTCTTTTTTTTATTTTTTAATGGACTTTTATTGAAAACCAAATAATAAGTAAGTAAGTAATCTTTTATTTATATACCGCCTTTCACAGACCAGAGTCAAAGCGGTTTACACTTGTGGGCATTTCTCTCTCAGTCCCCACAGAGATGGGAGCGAGGCCAGCACAGGAGGCACAGACCTATTGTACATGTTTTAGTGGTAGGGGAAACTGGAGCACCCGGAGGAAACTCACACAGACATGGGGAGAGCATGCTATTTGGGCGGCACGGTGGCTGAGTGGTCCTGGGTTCGAATCCTGGTCGGAACAGGGCCTTTCCGAGTGGAGTTTGCATGTTCTCCGTTTTTTTGGACCAGTCTTACAAGTTTTCTTCACATTTTCCAGCCGCCGCGGCCATTTTGAAACTGCCCAAAGACTGCGAAACTTGTGGCACATTAGTTAGAACGGCAGAGATAGGCGTGACTACGTCTGTTAATATTTACAGTCTATGGTCGTTGCGTTTTTTCGAATGTATGGTCTTTTCGGTTTTAAGGTCTTGGGGTAAAAAAAAATCTGTTTAAAAAAAAGTCTGGAATTTTAATTTGGAAAAAGATCAAGCACCTTCCTACAAAACTTTGCGATAAGTGTAAAGAAGGATGTATCTCTTAGTTTACTTCCTATGACTCGTCTTTTCTGTGCATTCAGTCACATTTGAACCATCAGCTCAGTTGGTAGAGCGTTGGTCTTTGAGCCAGAAGGTCGTGGGTTTGAGCCCACCTCAAGACTTTCTCCATCGACTCCCACTGATGTCTGTCCTTTGAACCTCTGAGAACAGCAGGTGCCACAGTGGGGCGGCTGCGGCTGTAAATTGCCAAACTGCCGGTGTGTCCTTAGGCAAGACACTTTACCCCCATTGCCTAGAATGAGACTGGTGTGTGTGTGAATGGTTGGTGGTGGTGGGAGGGGCTGATGGCACAGACTGGTTGCCTTTCTTCTGTCAGTGTGCCCCAGGGCAGCTGTGGCTACAGTAGTAGTTTATCACCACCGTGTTTGGAGTGAATGAATAATAATGTGAAGTGTCTTTGAGTGTCCAAAAAAGCGCTATATAAAATTATTATTATTATTATTATAAAAAATATGAGTTTATAAGTGATTTTAGTGTCATCCGTCCTATCAGGGCATGGAACAAAACATCCCAATGTGAGTGCACCATTGTGGGGCTGGATTAGAAGGAGGAGGCGGCTTATGAGTTATGCACTGAGCTTATGACTGGCCCTGGATAAAAGGAGAACACATGAAACCCAATACCTTCATCAAAGAGGCGCGAGCAGCGGAGAAGCAGACGAGAGAACAGAGCGGGGGCCTCTCTGTGTGGACGGAGGTGTCACCGGGTCTAATGCCTCGGCACGCAGAGAAGGACAGCTGAGCAGCCGGCCGCTCTAAATGGTTAATCTCCAAACATGGATCCACATAAGTGCCCTACTGTATGTTTTGACCAGAGCCCGTGGCATAAATGAAGGCAATAACGCAGGCTTTGGTATGTGTTCCTTGCTCGTGTATGACTGTCAGACTGTACAATAAGTCACTTTACGTCACTAATGCACTAGGACTGAAAAGAAACAGCACTTTTTACTGTATATAATTATATCCTGCATAGGTTGTTGCACACTTCTGTCTTTTTGCACAATCTGAGTGATTCTATCTGTGCCAAATCTTATCAAGTCTTTTCTTTTCTGTTTGAAAGGTGCTATATTCTCACCTTTTCAAAGACCTTACACGAGCAAAGAATGCCTTTAACCCTGGAGATTACAGAGCTAAGATTGAGGTGGATGGAGAAGCTGGAGGTGGCAAGAATATCATGCTTCCCGCAAATCAATCAATATTTATTTTCCTACACAAGGCAACAAAGGCATACATCATAGACATTAAAATCTACGTCTGTAATAACAAATATGATCAAAACAAACCTTAAGATCACAAGGAATCTTAAAACCTTAGAGAATGAAATCACTAGCCTGGCCTTAGCTAACCGTACACTCCGCTCAATAATCATTTCACTGCATGTAACGTCTGGGTCTGGTCCCTGTGTTTGAGATTACAATCGGTTGAATTCCATCCGACCAATCAGAGAGCGCGGGAGGCGGGTGTTGTAGTTAGATGTGGGTGACGTCAAGAATGTGATGGTAAAGTAATCCGGTCTGGTCAGATCAAGAAATCGAAGCCGGAGCAAGAGGAATGTTTAGCAAAGGAGTTAACCCCTCCCACCTGTTAACCGAGTCAAAGCAACCAGGCTTTGAAATCCCACAAGAAGTTAAAAACCTTAAAAACCTTAAAACATTCAAATCACACACGGGATTAATATCATAAATAGCCACAGTGCATTAAAAAGAGTAAAAATAAAGACGCCTGCCTCACATGTTCAGGAAGACTGCTCCAGATTATAGCTGCATGAATCTGAAAGGCTGCCTCCTCAGGTTTAGTTTTGATTCCGAGACCAGCAGGAGGCCAGTCCCTGTGCTCCTCAGAGTCCCAGCAGGAGGCCAGTCCCTGTGCTCCTCAGAGTCCCAGCAGGAAGCCAGTCCCTGTGCTCCTCAGAGTCCCAGCAGGAAGCCAGTCCCTGTGCTCCTCAGAGTCCCAGCAGGAAGCCAGTCCCTGTGGTCCTCAGAGTCCCAGCAGGAGGCCAGTCCCTGTGCTCCTCAGAGTCCCAGCAGGAGGCCAGTCCCTGTGCTCCTCAGAGTCCCAGCAGGAGGCCAGTCCCTGTGCTCCTCAGAGTCCCAGCAGGAGGCCAGTCCCTGTGCTCCTCAGAGTCCCAGCAGGAGGCCAGTCCCTGTGCTCCTCAGAGTCCCAGCAGGAGGCCAGTCCCTGTGGTCCTCAGAGTCCCAGCAGGAAGCCAGTCCCTGTGGTCCTCAGAGTCCCAGCAGGAGGCCAGTCCCTGTGCTCCTCAGAGTCCCAGCAGGAGGCCAGTCCCTGTGCTCCTCAGAGTTGGTTCATAGGGCTCAAACATGTCACAGATGTACTTTGGTTTGAGGCCCTGGAGAGACTTGTAACAAACAGAGCTGCTTTAAAGTCTTTTGTCTGAGCCACAGGAAGCAGAGACCTGAGACCAGGACTAATGGGATTTAGTTTAGTACCTTTCAAAGTGGTATCAGCAAGAGATGGACTGAAATCTCATCTTTTTATTGGTAATAAATTGTAGACAGTTGTTCAGTGTGGGAGAATAGTTCAGGAGGTGATGAAATTCGGGAAGTTTAGTATTGAAGTGGGATGAGAATGGGAATGGGTGAACTTCCAAATGGTCGTGCTTGGAAAGTGGAAGTTGAAATGTTTTGTTGGATTTGCTGCCGAAACAATATAAGTATACTCCAATTAACTTTCTCATTTATTGTGACAGCATTCTTAACACCTGTGGCTTTACTGAACCAAAAAAAACTCAATTCTTACTGTTTGCATGAAACATAATGAAACAATTATGAGCTTTTTAATGAAGGTAAACTGTCAACGCAGAATGGTCGTATGAGGTTGCAGAAACTCTGTGACATAAGAATATATATGGGCAGGGAGGAGTCGGGTTGAAACGGGGTGAGAGCGGGTCAACGAGTGAGAACAGTGCAGAAGTTTGAAGTCATTAACCTTTGTGCTGTCCTCGGCTCAAATCCACCACAGTCATTCAAAAACACCACAAAAAACACATTTTTGAGCTGAATTTTGATGATATCTCCCTCCTTGACCAGCCCTGAGTCATTTAGACCCTAATTTATGTATTTTTCTTTTACTTTGAATCATCTATGGTTCTAAAAAACAGAAATTACTCTGTACAACATAGTAGTGCAGAATATATTGGGTATTTTTAAGGCATCTAGAGCAATGCACAAAAAAAACTTAATAAAAATAAAGTAATGTACGTAAGAACAAGCAAAAAACCAAAAAGCAAGTACTGTCATGGAAATATGCAGGTGCTAATGTGTACTGTAAGCGTGGGTGTTAATGTATTTATATGTATGAATGTATGATTATGTATGTCTGAAAAAGTATAGAAAACCGAACAATAATAATTAATAACCATATAATAATATAGTGGGTAATTTTGACCCGAGGGGTAGCCTAAGTCTGTGAGGTTGGAGGTGTTCGAGGCTGAGAATGCTCCATGTGGGTGGCAGTGCAGAGGCTAGTTACTGGGTCTGGGGTGACGGCCTTCCAATAGGGCGAGACTGGCCGGGGGGAGACGGGTGAGGCACGATAGATGGTTGGATGAGCCTGTGACCATGGAGGGGATTAGACGGGATTAGCTCGCGGGTAACCTTCCCAAAGTGTCGGCCCGAGATCTGGAGCGCTGTGAAGCCCGCCGCCTGGGAATCCGGCCAGGGGGGCCCCCATCCCAGCACATGGGTTTGGTTTGACACAGTGCCCCGCTACAACATAAATTACAGCAGAAGTGATGGCCAACGCTCTGTCATCTGGACGGAAACGGCAGAACAGAAGTTTGAAAAGACTGCACTGAAACACAGAGGCAGATATGAAGGTGGAGATAAGATTTTACTTGTAATCGTTCAGTTTTGGGTAAAAAAAATGTAGTTTTTTGTTGAGAATGGGAAGACGAATGGGGATGGGAAGAGCTTGTAGATTAACAAACCAAAGCGGATACATTTACAAGATTAAGATTAAGAGCTCGTTTATTCGTCCCACAGTAGGGAAATTTCAGTGTTGCATCACAAGTTATAGAACAGAAGGAAAGAGGAGACAAGATAAATGATCAATAATGCATCGGTTTTATAGAGCGCTTTATTTGGACACAAACTACTGTAGCCACAGCTGCCCTGGGGCACACTGACAGAAGCGAGGCCACCAGTCTGTGCCATCGGCCCCTCCCACCACCACCAACCATTCACACACACACCAGACTCATTCTAGGCAATGGGGGTGAAGTGTCTTGCCTAAGGACACAACAACAGCAGACAAGTCTTGAGGTGGGCCCGAACCCACGACTTTCTGGCTCAAAGGCCAATGCTCTACCAACTGAGCCACTGTCGCCCAGATTAAGATTAAGAGCTCATTTATTGGTCCCACCGTGGGTAAATTTCAGTGTTGCATCACAAGTTATAGAACAGTAGGAATGAGGAGCACAAGATAAGTGAACAATAGCTCTACTGATTAAAATAAAACCAAATATCTAACTCTAGCATCAATAACAAGTATAAAAGCTCTATCTTGAAAATAATAATAAAAATAAGTAAACAAAAAGTAATTTTGTATCTTTTTTCTTTTTTAACTTTGAGAAAAAGCTTAAATTATGAGGCAATTTTTTATTTTATTTTTTCACCTTTATTTAACCAGGAAAGTCCCATTGAGATTAAGAAACTTTTTTTCAAGGGAGTCCTGGACAAAAGTTACATACAATTACAGATTATAAAACAGTTGCATTTCAATGAGGACGTCTCAAGTGCTCTCAATCTGGATCACTGGAGACATCCTCATTGAAATGTATCTGTTTTTATAAATAATATATAAAACCACCAGACCATTATAAATACAATGGTCTATCATAAACATCTACCACTTAATCCCACCAAATAATCTCACTGCAACGAAACATTACATTAATTCTACATTTTCCGGGCTGCTATTTTAAAGTCTTAAGTCTGAGTTTGCGTGTGGTTTTGTCCACAATGAACCGATTGACTCCAGCGGGACCAAAACTGACAGCGGGACAGGGGCCGGGGGCAGTGTCACACATTCACAAAATAAATGCTCTGTACTGAAACAATAACACAAACTTTGGGAGAGCCCGGCCCCTCTCCTCCAACCCCGACAATCGCCAAAGAATACCCCCGAAGTACCTCACATGAAGAAAGTGTGTCGTCGGAAAGCAGCCAGCAGATTTGCACAATAGATTGAAACAGGGATTGACTGTGTCCTGAAGGAAACTATGATGGAAAACAGTAAATTACAGGGTTTCAAGGCCCTTCAAACTTGTGTCCAAAATAAATGGTGAGCTCTGCAGTATTTTGTGTCCTGCTCCATGCGTCTCTTTCTCTCGTTGCAGTACTTACTAGAGATGAAGAGCCTGATTTTGCCTCCAGAGCACATCCTAAAGCGGGGGGACAGTGAAGCAGTGGCCTACGCCTTCTTTCACCTGCAGCATTGGAAGAGGGCCGAAGGAGCCTTAAACCTGCTGCACTGCACTTGGGAAGGGAGTAAGTGCCACACACCTTTGTCTTCGTCATAGGGGCGTGTCTCTGAATCAGGGGAATGGGGAAAACACAATATATCGGGTTTAATTACATAAAAGAGTCCAGGAATCAGAACTTTTACCATACCAACTTTATACCACTCACACAATATCAAAATGTCAGGCAGTATTGACATAATATCACAGTTTCTTCCAACCCCACCCCCAAAATCCCCCTCCCTCCCACTCTGCTGTGTTTGATATATGTAGTTATGTATGTTTTTGTGTTGTACTCAGACGTAAGTAAGTAATATTTATTTATATACTGCCTTTCACAGACCAGAGCCATAAAGAGCTTTACAATTGTTGGCATTTGTCTCTCACTCCACACAGAGACGGAGCGAGGTCTGTCTGTAATGTTTTTGTTTGTTTAAATAAAAATAAAAAATAATAATAAAAATGAATGACCTAAAGAATCATCTGCACTACGTTGGGGGGTTCCCGGACCAAAAGACCCTGCTTCAGAAATCATTGCTATTATATTCTTGGTTTTCATTAAACTGGCCAGTAGGGGGCGCATGAGCAGAGATGGGACAACTCAGTTTTGCTCCCATTGAAAACCATGTAAAGTCTGTTTTGGAGTCAAAGGCTCTCCTCCTGTGCGGTGTACGGTTGTTGTCGGGGACACTCAATTCTAAGGGAGTACTAACAAATATTTCTCAAAAGAGTCTTGATTTTGGGCATTTTTTGAAAGAAAATTAGAAGAAATTGATGCGTTTCATTGGGGTGGCCTGCAGGGGGCGCTTATCTGGGAAAGCCCTGATCCACCTCCGCCTCATTCCAGTGATTTTTTCAAAGTGTCCTCCTTTATATGAGACACAGTTGGAACATGAACAAACTCTGGTCTTTCTCTCTATTTGTGCTGTTGCTACAAACGTACACCGCACAAAAAGATGCTTCTTCTTCTACTATATCTCCGTGTATAAACCACTTCTTCTTCTACTATATCTCCGTGTATAAACCACTTCTTCTTCTACTATATCTCCGTGTATAAACCCGGCAGACTGCACCGCCAGGATACGTCACGTCCTGTCCTACGTTTGTTATTCCACTGCCCTGACGTCATATGAAACCCAAGAATAGGTGGATTTTCTACTCCCGGGCGGATCATCAAGACTATTGGTCCTCCCAACTGTCAATCATTCTGGTGATACGAGCTCGTCAAATCAGACCAGAGAGTTTTGTTCAAAAAGTGGAGAGGGCGGTTCTTTCCTAAAATTTGGGAAAATTCACAGATATACACTTAGCTTTTGCACACCTGAAAGAAATGGCAATAAACATGCCCTTTTTAAACAATTTTGTGTTATTGTCAGAACTAACGTCTGTTTTTAAGGATTTTAGTGTTCCCAAAATATTAGTTTTTTTGTGGTGGTGGCTTTTCCTTCTGTATTTTGTTTTTACTTGAATACCGGCATATGGTGTACCAAGCAACCACTTTGGATGTCCATGGTTTACCTTATAAACAGCAAACAATAGAAATAAGCAAAGTAGCATAATCCTGGACATGGGGGCGGGTGGAGCATTGGTCTTTGAACCTAATGGTGGGTTCAATCCCCCCACGACCCATGTCACCTGCTCCCCTTGATGTCTGCTGTCGTTGTGTCCCTGGGCAAGACACTTAACCCCATTTTGCCTGAAGCCCAAACTGAAATACCAAGGCCGTTGTCTTTGTTGACGGAGCAGCGAGGGACTGGAGCTATGGGTGTTGGGTGGCAGCTCGGATTGCAAACCTGCCCGACCCAGAAATGGACTATTAAAGGGGTAGAAAACAACACAAAGCATGAGTCTTATTTTATCCGAATTGTTGTGTGCATTGAGCGGGTTACTTAACTCATTGACTGCCAGCCGTTTTTGACGATTTAACTGATTTTCAAGACACACAGAATATTATGTGCAAAGACCATGTGAAATAATAAACCAGATTCTGAAAGACTGGATTGTCTAATTTCATCAGATTTTTTTGTTTTGTTTCTAGCTAGGTTTGCTCTCCTGTAATCACCAGTCTCAGACACATACGTCAATGGCAGAGTTAAAAAATGATCCCAGAGATGAATGACTGGTCTAACTTCTGCGTCTCCTTCCCTTCAGCCTTTCGAATAATTCCTTATCCGCTGGAAAAGGGTCACCTGTTTTATCCCTACCCAGGATGCACAGAAACAGCAGACAGAGAGCTGCTTCCCTGTAAGTGGCCATGCCCGACACCATTGAGCTTTAAGCTGTTTGTTTTAAATATATAATTGTGTGTTTGTTTTTTGATCTCTCAGCTTTTCATGAGGTGTCTGTGTATCCAAAGAAAGAGCTCCCCTTCTTCATCCTCTTCACAGCAGGCCTTTGCTCCTTCACTGCCATGCTGGCCATGCTCACACACCAGTTTCCAGAGCTCATGGGTGTCTTTGTCAAAGCGGTGAGTATCAGGGCATCAAACACTAACATTTTAGTTTAGCATTCACTAATCAGCAGCTAATAAAGTGCTAATGTGTGGATGATTTATAGTAGTTTTGCTCTTAATTTGTATTTATTAAGAAATTATGTTACTTGGCATTATTCAACATCTAACTAACTCCTGACTGACCTGTTCCCATGTGGGTTAGGACTAAGGTTAGGGTACACCAATTAGCACTTAGTTAGCTGTTAATTAGCGTTACCCAACATGTTTTGGATCTATTGTGACACTGTAAAGTATATTTCTTATGTAAGAATGTAAATGTGGGAGTCCTGTGTCTGAAACTAATCTGAAAAGTGTGTATTATAACTACAGATAGGGATGGGTCACTAAAAGCAGTATTAAAATAAACTTCACTCTTGCATATTAAACTCACGATTAATCTGCAATTAGCAGGATTTTATTCTTCCAAAGGGCCTTATTAAACTGTCTCTTGCCATGACATCCTCATTAGTGCATGAGCCTCTACCCTATGAGTCATTAGCTTCCAAATTTACAGTGTCATTAGTGTGAAAACTCTCTGTTTTCTATATTTTATCATGTTTGGCATCACTGTGTTTATTTGTTTCTGCCTATACATAGACACATAGTCTCTCAGCGAAACGAGGTCACGGAGAACATCAAGTGCTGATGTTATGAGAAAGATAGAGTTTTACAGCAGCCCAGAAGCGTCTGTTTTGTGTAATACATAAATGAACATCAAGTAAAAACGTTACAAGGAGAACACCAGGTCCACGCTCTTCAGAGAAAAGTCTTGAATCTGCACTTTTTAATCCCAGAAGAACTGAACATGGCCCACACATGTTCCTTCATCATTCATATCTCTGTAATGTCATTTATTCATCACCGTGGCAGGTCAGAGAAGTCCATCTGAGCTCCAGAGGGAGATTAAGCTTTTCAAGTTAAAGTGTTATTGCCATTTCATAAAGATAGGGTCTTAAAGCTGTTGGAGGCTGGTGCATCAGGATCATGTCTCTAAACATAAAGCCTTTTCATACAATGTGAAGTCCAGACCTATCAAGTCCAGAAACAGCGGCAAGATCTTAAAACACATGGAGACCTACACCTGTGCTTTAGACCTACACCTGTGATTTAGACCTACACCTGTGCTTTAGACCTACACCTGTGCTTTAGACCTACACCTGTGCTTTAGACCTACACCTGTGATTTAGACCTACACCTGTGATTTAGACCTACACCTGTGATTTAGACCTACGCCTGTGATTTAGACCTACGCCTGTGATTTAGACCTACACCTGTGATTTAGACCTACACCTGTGCTTTAGACCTACACCTGTGATTTAGACCTACACCTGTGATTTAGACCTACGCCTGTGATTTAGACCTACGCCTGTGATTTAGACCTACACCTGTGATTTAGACCTGTGCTTTAGACCTACACCTGTGATTTAGACCTACACCTGTGATTTAGACCTACGCCTGTGATTTAGACCTACGCCTGTGATTTAGACCTACGCCTGTGATTTAGACCTACACCTGTGATTTAGACCTACACCTGTGCTTTAGACCTACACCTGTGATTTAGACCTACACCTGTGCTTTAGACCTACACCTGTGCTTTAGACCTACACCTGTGCTTTAGACCTACACCTGTGCTTTAGACCTACACCTGTGCTTTAGACCTACACCTGTGATTTAGACCTACACCTGTGCTTTAGACCTACACCTGTGCTTTAGACCTACACCTGTGCTTTAGACCTACACCTGTGATTTAGACCTACACCTGTGATTTAGACCTACACCTGTGATTTAGACCTACGCCTGTGATTTAGACCTACGCCTGTGATTTAGACCTACACCTGTGATTTAGACCTACACCTGTGCTTTAGACCTACACCTGTGATTTAGACCTACACCTGTGATTTAGACCTACGCCTGTGATTTAGACCTACGCCTGTGATTTAGACCTACACCTGTGATTTAGACCTGTGCTTTAGACCTACACCTGTGATTTAGACCTACACCTGTGATTTAGACCTACGCCTGTGATTTAGACCTACGCCTGTGATTTAGACCTACGCCTGTGATTTAGACCTACACCTGTGATTTAGACCTACACCTGTGCTTTAGACCTACACCTGTGCTTTAGACCTACACCTGTGCTTTAGACCTACACCTGTGATTTAGACCTACACCTGTGCTTTAGACCTACACCTGTGCTTTAGACCTACACCTGTGCTTTAGACCTACACCTGTGATTTAGACCTACACCTGTGATTTAGACCTACGCCTGTGATTTAGACCTACGCCTGTGATTTAGACCTACACCTGTGGTTTAGACCTACACCTGTGCTTTAGACCTACACCTGTGATTTAGACCTACACCTGTGATTTAGACCTACGCCTGTGATTTAGACCTACGCCTGTGATTTAGACCTACACCTGTGATTTAGACCTGTGCTTTAGACCTACACCTGTGATTTAGACCTACACCTGTGATTTAGACCTACGCCTGTGATTTAGACCTACGCCTGTGATTTAGACCTACGCCTGTGATTTAGACCTACACCTGTGATTTAGACCTACACCTGTGCTTTAGACCTACACCTGTGATTTAGACCTACACCTGTGATTTAGACCTGTGCTTTAGACCTACACCTGTGATTTAGACCTACGCCTGTGATTTAGACCTACGCCTGTGATTTAGACCTACACCTGTGATTTAGACCACCTGTGCTTTAGACCTACACCTGTGATTTAGACCTACGCCTGTGATTTAGACCTACACCTGTGATTTAGACCTACACCTGTGCTTTAGACCTACACCTGTGATTTAGACCTACACCTGTGCTTTAGACCTACACCTGTGCTTTAGACCTACACCTGTGATTTAGACCTACACCTGTGATTTAGACCTACACCTGTGATTTAGACCTACGCCTGTGATTTAGACCTACGCCTGTGATTTAGACCTACACCTGTGATTTAGACCTACACCTGTGCTTTAGACCTACACCTGTGATTTAGACCTACACCTGTGATTTAGACCTACGCCTGTGATTTAGACCTACGCCTGTGATTTAGACCTACACCTGTGATTTAGACCTGTGCTTTAGACCTACACCTGTGATTTAGACCTACACCTGTGATTTAGACCTACGCCTGTGATTTAGACCTACGCCTGTGATTTAGACCTACGCCTGTGATTTAGACCTACACCTGTGATTTAGACCTACACCTGTGCTTTAGACCTACACCTGTGATTTAGACCTACACCTGTGATTTAGACCTGTGCTTTAGACCTACACCTGTGATTTAGACCTACACCTGTGCTTTAGACCTACACCTGTGCTTTAGACCTACACCTGTGATTTAGACCTACACCTGTGATTTAGACCTACACCTGTGATTTAGACCTACGCCTGTGATTTAGACCTACGCCTGTGATTTAGACCTACACCTGTGATTTAGACCTACACCTGTGCTTTAGACCTACACCTGTGATTTAGACCTACACCTGTGATTTAGACCTACGCCTGTGATTTAGACCTACGCCTGTGATTTAGACCTACACCTGTGATTTAGACCTGTGCTTTAGACCTACACCTGTGATTTAGACCTACACCTGTGATTTAGACCTACGCCTGTGATTTAGACCTACGCCTGTGATTTAGACCTACGCCTGTGATTTAGACCTACACCTGTGATTTAGACCTACACCTGTGCTTTAGACCTACACCTGTGCTTTAGACCTACACCTGTGCTTTAGACCTACACCTGTGATTTAGACCTACACCTGTGCTTTAGACCTACACCTGTGCTTTAGACCTACACCTGTGCTTTAGACCTACACCTGTGATTTAGACCTACACCTGTGATTTAGACCTACACCTGTGATTTAGACCTACGCCTGTGATTTAGACCTACGCCTGTGATTTAGACCTACACCTGTGATTTAGACCTACACCTGTGCTTTAGACCTACACCTGTGATTTAGACCTACACCTGTGATTTAGACCTACGCCTGTGATTTAGACCTACGCCTGTGATTTAGACCTACACCTGTGATTTAGACCTGTGCTTTAGACCTACACCTGTGATTTAGACCTACACCTGTGATTTAGACCTACGCCTGTGATTTAGACCTACGCCTGTGATTTAGACCTACGCCTGTGATTTAGACCTACACCTGTGATTTAGACCTACACCTGTGCTTTAGACCTACACCTGTGATTTAGACCTACACCTGTGATTTAGACCTGTGCTTTAGACCTACACCTGTGATTTAGACCTACGCCTGTGATTTAGACCTACGCCTGTGATTTAGACCTACACCTGTGATTTAGACCACCTGTGCTTTAGACCTACACCTGTGATTTAGACCTACGCCTGTGATTTAGACCTACACCTGTGATTTAGACCTACACCTGTGCTTTAGACCTACACCTGTGATTTAGACCTACACCTGTGCTTTAGACCTACACCTGTGATTTAGACCTACGCCTGTGATTTAGACCTACGCCTGTGATTTAGACCTACACCTGTGATTTAGACCTGTGCTTTAGACCTACACCTGTGATTTAGACCTACACCTGTGATTTAGACCTACGCCTGTGATTTAGACCTACGCCTGTGATTTAGACCTACACCTGTGATTTAGACCTACACCTGTGCTTTAGACCTACACCTGTGATTTAGACCTACACCTGTGATTTAGACCTGTGCTTTAGACCTACACCTGTGATTTAGACCTACACCTGTGATTTAGACCTGTGATTTAGACCTACACCTGTGATTTAGACCTACACCTGTGATTTAGACCTACGCCTGTGATTTAGACCTACGCCTGTGATTTAGACCTACGCCTGTGATTTAGACCTACACCTGTGATTTAGACCTACACCTGTGATTTAGACCTACACCTGTGCTTTAGACCTACACCTGTGATTTAGACCTACACCTGTGCTTTAGACCTACACCTGTGATTTAGACCTACACCTGTGATTTAGACCTACACCTGTGATTTAGACCTACACCTGTGCTTTAGACCTACACCTGTGATTTAGACCTACACCTGTGCTTAAGACCTACACCTGTGCTTTAGACCTACACCTGTGCTTTAGACCTACACCTGTGATTTAGACCTACACCTGTGATTTAGACCTACACCTGTGCTTTAGACCATTTGATCCAAAGTGAGAGAGTGACAAAGAAAATAGGATTACACTGTACATGTGAACAGACATGCAACAGCTCCATCAGCTGAGTGCACGTGTCTCAGGTTGGCTTCGAAAACAACCCAAACGCAAATAGCAGAGACAACTGTGAGCAGGTCTGAACCAGGTCTGAACCAGGACTAAACCAGGTCTGAACCAGGACCGAAGAAGGACCAGGCTTTAGTGTGAATCAGATTCCTCAGCCGTCTGCAGCCTTCTATAGATTCTAATGAGAAGGCTCTGGTCTTACAGTAAATGATGATGACCATCTGAGAGCACCTGCGGCCTCAGATTATAATCTCTGGATTGATTAAATATATTGTCATAGCGAGGTAGATGTGTATAGAAGATTTATAAAACAAGAGGATCCTGTTAAATCAGGGATGATTCATTTCTCTTTGAAACAAACACACTTGACAATAAGAAGGAACCACTGCTGGGAACAAACGCACACATGTGATCTGTCTGTGGCAAACCGCGCTGTTCTCCTCAATGCTAACACCTCAATGCTAACACCTCAATGCTAACACCTCAATGCTAACACCTCAATGCTAACACCTCAATGCTAACACCTCAATGCTAACACCTCAATGCTAACACCTCAATGCTAACACCTCAATGCTAACACCTCAATGCTAACACCTCAATGTTCTCAATGTTGTCCTCAATGCACCTCAATGCTAACACCTCACTGCTAACACCTCACTGCTAACACCTCACTGCTAACACCTCAATGCTAGCACCTCAATGCTAGCACCTCAATGCTAACACCTCAATGCTAACACCTCAATGCTAGCACCTCAATGCTAACACCTCAATGCTAACACCTCACTGCTAACACCTCAATGCTAACACCTCACTGCTAACACCTCACTGATAATACCTCAATGCTAGCACCTCGATGCTAGCACCTCGATGCTAGCACCTCGATGCTAACACCTCGATGCTAACACCTCGATGCTAACACCTCACTGATAATACCTCAATGCTAGCACCTCGATGCTAACACCTCGATGCTAGCACCTCGATGCTAACACCTCGATGCTAACACCTCGATGCTAACACCTCACTGCTAACACCTCACTGCTAACACCTCACTGATAATACCTCGATGCTAGCACCTCGATGCTAGCACCTCGATGCTAGCACCTCGATGCTAACACCTCGATGCTAACACCTCGATGCTAACACCTCGATGCTAACACCTCGATGCTAACACCTGGAACTTCAATGTTTTAAAGGACAACTCACCCTCAAATCCACTTTTTTTTGCTGATAAACTGTATAAATGAGTGTCCAATAGTGTTGTCTACATATCCTGGTCATAATCTTGTCACTTTGGTGCAAATTAGTTGAAAGTTAGACTTTCTGCCTAAAACCGTCTGTGAGGCGCCATCTGCTGGCGACCTGTATTACTACATTTGAATTTTGAATCTGGCGCCAACACTGGCGCGGTAGCAAGACCTGACGTCTGAAGCAAGACCTGACGTCTGAAGCAAGACCTGACGTCAGCAGCCCCCCGCCCAGAGCAATGTAAACGGCCCAGTCTCGTTCACGCCCCCTTTAGTCCTCCAGGCTACGCCCATTTAGAGGAAGATTTGAACAGGAAATGTGAGTGACGTAAGCTCCGAGGAGCGGGGGTGAGAACCACTTTAACTGTCTTTGAATGGGCCAATGTTGATTATTGTTCTTCTGCCCAACCACTTCATCTAAAGGTCAGACTGCGACACCATCTTAGTGACATGTTGATTTAACAAACTGAAAGCAAACATTAACAACCCGGGAAAAAAAGGAAAAAAAAAAGGAGGTCGAATACAAATAAACATCAGAACTTGACAATTGTGTTGAATTTGTTTCATGAATTCTCCAGAACAAGTGAAAGACAGTATAAAGTTTATGTTCAGACGTTATGTTCGTGTAAACACATTTAAATATCCTCTTTCTACAAACAAAAAAGATAAAAGTGAAAGAATGTAACCTCAGGCTGTGAGCTTTGTGTGTCCTGCTGGAGCGTTGTGTGTCCTGCTGGAGCGTTGTGTGTCCTGCTGTGAGCTTTGTGTGTCCTGCTGGAGCGTTGTGTGTCCTGCTGGAGCGTTGTGTGTCCTGCTGGAGCGTTGTGTGTCCTGCTGGAGCGTTGTGTGTCCTGCTGGAGCGTTGTGTGTCCTGCTGGAGCGTTGTGTGTCCTGCTGGAGCGTTGTGTGTCCTGCTGGAGCGTTGTGTGTCCTGCTGGAGCGTTGTGTGTTCTGCCGGAGCGGTGTGTGTCCTGCCGGAGCGGTGTGTGTCCTGCCAGAGCGGTGTGTGTCCTGCCAGAGCGGTGTGTGTCCTGCCAGAGTGTTGTGTATCCTGCCGGAATGTTGTGTATCCTGCCGGAGCGTTGTGTGTCATGCCGGAGCGTTGTGTGTCATGCCGGAGCGGTGTGTGTCCTCAGTCTGTAGAGCAGTGTGTGTCCTGCCGGAGCATTGTGTGTTCTGCCGGAGCATTGTGTGTTCTGCCGGAGCGTTGTGTGTCCTCAGTCTGTGGAACATTGTGTGTCCTCGGTCTGTGGAGCGTTGTGTGTCCTCAGTCTGTGGAACATTGTGTGTCCTCAGTTTGTGAAACATTGTGTGTCCTCGGTCTGTGGAACATTGTGTGTCCTCAATCTGTGGAACATTGTGTGTCCTCGGTCTGTGGAACATTGTGTGTCCTCGGTCTGTGGAGCGGTGTGTGTCCTCAGTCTGTGGAACATTGTGTGTCCTCGGTCTGTGGAGCTGTGTGTGTCCTCGGTCTGTGGAGCTGTGTGTGTCCTCGGTCTGTGGAACATTGTGTGTCCTCGGTCTGTGGAGCGGTGTGTGTCCTCAGTCTGTGGAACATTGTGTGTCCTCAATCTGTGGAACATTGTGTGTCCTCGGTCTGTGGAGCGGTGTGTGTCCTCAGTCCGTGGAGCGGTGTGTGTGTCCTGCCGGAGTGTTGTGTGTCCTCAGTCTGTGGAGCGTTGTGTGTCCTCAGTCTGTGGAGCTGTGTGTGTCCTCGGTCTGTGGAGCGTTGTGTGTCCTGCCGTAGCGTTGTGTGTCCTGCCGGAGCGTTGTGTGTCCTCAGTCTGTGGAGCAGTGTGTGTCCTGCCTGAGCGTTGTGTGTCCTGCCGTAGCGTTGTGTGTCCTGCCGTAGCGTTGTGTGTGTCCAAACCCTGATGTCAGTCCTCTGTCTTCCAGTTCTTCAGCACACTCTTCGCTCCTCTGGGCTTCTTCGCAGACAAGATGGAGAGCTTCATGCCGTCCAGCTTTTGGCACCAGCTGACGCGAATCTGACCCTTCATGACGAAAGACTCCTCCCACAGACGCTCTGCTCCTGTCTTCAGCATCACAGACTCCTCCCACAGACGCTCTGCTCCTGTCTTCAGCATCACAGACTCCTCCCACAGACGCTCTGCTCCTGTCTTCAGCATCACAGACTCCTCCCACAGACGCTCTGCTCCTGTCTTCAGCATCACAGACTCCTCCCACAGACGCTCTGCTCCTGTCTTCAGCATCACAGACTCCTCCCACAGACGCTCTGCTCCTGTCTTCAGCATCACAGACTCCTCCCACAGACGCTCTGCTCTGTCTTCAGCATCACAGACTCCTCCCACAGACGCTCTGCTCCTGTCTTCAGCATCACAGACTCCTCCCACAGACGCTCTGCTCCTGTCTTCAGCATCACAGACTCCTCCCACAGACGCTCTGCTCCTGTCTTCAGCATCACAGACTCCTCCCACAGACGCTCTGCTCCTGTCTTCAGCATCACAGACTCCTCCCACAGACGCTCTGCTCCTGTCTTCAGCATCACAGACTCCTCCCACAGACGCTCTGCTCCTGTCTTCAGCATCACAGACTCCTCCCACAGACGCTCTGCTCCTGTCTTCAGCATCACAGACTCCTCCCACAGACGCTCTGCTCCTGTCTTCAGCATCACAGACTCCTCCCACAGACGCTCTGCTCCTGTCTTCAGCATCACAGACTCCTCCCACAGACGCTCTGCTCCTGTCTTCAGCATCACAGACTCCTCCCACAGACGCTCTGCTCCTGTCTTCAGCATCACAGACTCCTCCCACAGACGCTCTGCTCCTGTCTTCAGCATCACAGACTCCTCCCACAGACGCTCTGCTCCTGTCTTCAGCATCACAGACTCCTCCCACAGACGCTCTGCTCCTGTCTTCAGCATCACAGACTCCTCCCACAGACGCTCTGCTCCTGTCTTCAGCATCACAGACTCCTCCCACAGACGCTCTGCTCCTGTCTTCAGCATCACAGACTCCTCCCACAGACGCTCTGCTCCTGTCTTCAGCATCACAGACTCCTCCCACAGACGCTCTGCTCCTGTCTTCAGCATCACAGACTCCTCCCACAGACGCTCTGCTCCTGTCTTCAGCATCACAGACTCCTCCCACAGACGCTCTGCTCCTGTCTTCAGCATCACAGACTCCTCCCACAGACGCTCTGCTCCTGTCTTCAGCATCACAGACTCCTCCCACAGACGCTCTGCTCCTGTCTTCAGCATCACAGACTCCTCCCACAGACGCTCTGCTCCTGTCTTCAGCATCACAGACTCCTCCCACAGACGCTCTGCTCCTGTCTTCAGCATCACAGACTCCTCCCACAGACGCTCTGCTCCTGTCTTCAGCATCACAGACTCCTCCCACAGACGCTCTGCTCCTGTCTTCAGCATCACAGACTCCTCCCACAGACGCTCTGCTCCTGTCTTCAGCATCACAGACTCCTCCCACAGACGCTCTGCTCCTGTCTTCAGCATCACAGACTCCTCCCACAGACGCTCTGCTCCTGTCTTCAGCATCACAGACTCCTCCCACAGACGCTCTGCTCCTGTCTTCAGCATCACAGACTCCTCCCACAGACGCTCTGCTCCTGTCTTCAGCATCACAGACTCCTCCCACAGACGCTCTGCTCCTGTCTTCAGCATCACAGACTCCTCCCACAATTGTAACTATCTAGGGCTGCGCGATATATCGGTGAAAAATATCGTCATCGCGATATCGGTACGTGCGATATATGTATTGAAAAGCGCATTGAAGTGCGATTGTTTTGAAATATTTATGTTTTCTTTTCTTGTACGCGCACTTTGACGAATCTACCGCGACCTTGTCCCGGAGACACAAAACAAGATTGGGATCGACAAGACCGGACCGAGCACAGAAATCAAGTTATTTGCCGAAAATTAGCCGCTACGTTTGAGGGAAAAGCGACAAATCTCCACAGCCGCCTCCAGCACAACCACAGGGTACTTTATGCTGTGTATTTACAATCTCAAGCTCCACTGCCGACTTCGGTCAAACCCAAGGCAAATGTACAGAAGAGAATGAATGAGAGATTCAATATATAGCATACCGCTACGTTAAAGGAGCAGTTAGCGATGTTGTTAGCTTAGCCGTAGCACCAACTCCAAACCACTCCCCCTCCCCTCCCTCTCCACCAAACCACTCCCCCCTCCCCTCCCTCTCCACCAAACCACTCCCCCCTCCCCTCCCTCTCCTCCAAACCACTCCCCCCTCCCCTCCCTCTCCCACCAAACCACTCCCCCCTCCCCTCCCTCTCCTCCAACCACTCCCCCCTCCCCTCCCTCTCCACCAAACCACTCCCCCCTCCCCCCCCCCCCTCCCCCCAAACCACTCCCCCCCCCTCTCACCAAACCACTCCCCCCCACCCCCCCCTCTCCCAAACCACTCCCCCTCCCCTCCCTCTCCACCAAACCACTCCCCCCTCCCCTCCCTCTCCACCAAACCACCCCCCTCCCCCCCCCTCCCTCCAAACCACTCCCCCCTCCCCTCCCTCTCCACCAAACCACTCCCCCCTCCCCTCCCTCTCCACCAAACCACTCCCCCTCCCCTCCCTCTCCCCCAAACCACTCCCCCTCCCCTCCCTCTCCACCAAACCACTCCCCCCTCCCCTCCCTCTCCACCAAACCACTCCCCCCTCCCCTCCCTCTCCACCAAACCACTCCCCCCTCCCCTCCCTCTCCACCAAACCACTCCCCCCTCCCCTCCCTCTCCACCAAACCACTCCCCCCTCCCCTCCCTCTCCACCAAACCACTCCCCCCTCCCCTCCCTCTCCACCAAACCACTCCCCCCTCCCCTCCCTCTCCACCAAACCACTCCCCCCTCCCCTCCCTCTCCACCAAACCACTCCCCCCTCCCCTCCCTCTCCACCAAACCACTCCCCCCTCCCCTCCCTCTCCACCAAACCACTCCCCCCCCCCTCCCCCTCCCTCTCCACTAAACCACTCCCCCCTCCCTCCCTCTCCACTAAACCACTCCCCCCTCCCCTCCCTCTCCACTAAACCACTCCCCCCTCCCCTCCCTCTCCACTAAACCACTCCCCCCTCCCCTCCCTCTCCACTAAACCACTCCCCCCTCCCCTCCCTCTCCACTAAACCACTCCCCCCTCCCCTCCCTCTCCACTAAACCACTCCCCCCTCCCCTCCCTCTCCACTAAACCACTCCCCCCTCCCCTCCCTCTCCACTAAACCACTCCCCCCTCCCCTCCCTCTCCACTAAACCACTCCCCCCTCCCCTCCCTCTCCACCAAACCACTCCCCCCTCCCCTCCCTCTCCACTAAACCACTCCCCCCTCCCCTCCCTCTCCACTAAACCACTCCCCCCTCCCCTCCCCTCTCTCCCACTAAACCACTCCCCCCTCCCCTCCCTCTCCACTAAACCACTCCCCCCTCCCCTCCCTCTCCACTAAACCACTCCCCCTCCCCTCCCTCTCCACTAAACCACTCCCCCTCCCCTCCCTCTCCACTAAACCACTCCCCCTCCCCTCCCTCTCCACCAAACCACTCCCCCCTCCCCTCCCTCTCCACCAAACCACTCCCCCTCCCCTCCCTCTCCACCAAACCAAACATCCAGAATTTTCTTTTCTTTGTCACATCAGGGAGAGTGGAGCGAACGTGAAGTTGGCATTTTCTGTTCAGCCATTTTAGGTTTTAGAAAATCCGATAACTCCGGTGCCCTCTGAGAAACAGGAAGAGGGTGAAGGCGGTAAACACATCCCATTGGTTCGTTTGTATCGGTCCGCTCCATAATATTTTCATTTTTGCAGACTATAGACATCTGTTTGATTCCATTACTATTTGAAAACACATGATAACTTGATACTTTTAGGGTTTAGGGACGTTTTCCCACAATATTTTTTTTTTTAAATGCGTCTGGAAAAAAATCCCTGATTGCATCTTTAATACTGTGTGTATGGACTCGGCCATTTTAGGCAAGATTTGAGATTAAAATGTGCCACACTGCATTTAAATGTGCGTAATTTAACATTAGAGATTTTTCATTTGTGGTTCAATTTCATTTTTAGGCGAAAGACTAAAATATCGCTAAAATATCGTTATCGAAATAGATCAGAATTTCCGATATCGTGCAGCCCTAGACGAGAACCGTGAGAGGATGTTATTCAGCGACTACCCCACAGAATAAACTGAATATAGTTGTTCTTGTGTTTTAAATGCAGACTGAAAAATGTGGATAATTTATCACTACGTCTTTGAACATTGAAGGTACGATAAAAACATGGTTTGTTGGAGAGTCCTACAAGTAAATATGATTCTCAAAACAAACAGTTTACAAATCTAATACAGCTTGAACTTTTGCACATGTCCGAGATTTTATTTTGGATATTTTTCATTTTTTAGAGGTTATTATTATGTCACAAACAATTAGCAAAAACATGTCCTTTTTTGTTTTAAAGAATTGAAATATGGGGCTTGCACATGGATTCATACAGCACCACTCAGACTGCTTTTCTCACTAAACAGCATCATGAAGTCCAAGGAGCCCACCAGAGGGCTCAGGGTCAGGGGCCGGTTATTAAATAGGAACTGGTTTGGGGCCGAAACCATAGAAGAGATTTCCGGTGTTTATCATAGTTTTTTTACATTGTGAAGATATTTTATGATTTTTTTTATGACTTTAATGTGGCCAAATGTTATTTTCTGGTTGATTTTTCTGAAAACAAAATGTGTTTATTGTTAAGATTGAACCAAAACTGGGTCAAATACAAAGTAAAAACATGTTACATGTGGGTGGCATCTCTGGCCACCCCCCCAACCCAGAAATGGATTAAGGGGAAGAAAATGGATGGATGGATGGATGGATGGTTTTCCATAATTTTAGGGGCCGCTAAAAATGGTCTTGACTTTGACACGCATGGTTTAAAGCATTATTAAGTGAAATGTCGGGTGCCCAAACTTTTATCACATCATCTAAGAATCTACGGAACAACTACAGACACGGGCGTCCACTAAACTGTCAGAGATTCAACCGTGTGTCCCAGGGTGAGTCAGGAATAGCTGAAAACACCTGAAAATAAGTAAAATACTGCTTGAAATAATAAAAATAATAATAATAATAATAATCTGCAAAAGGGCAAGAAAAAATGACTTGACAAGATTTCTGAAAATAAGGAAATAAAACTCGCCACAAATGACTTGATTCTAGTTTAAAAACATACATTTCAAGTTTTATTCACTTATTTCTGTAAAATAAGTACAGATTTATTTATTTATCCATAGAAGAAAATTTGTCTGGAAAGAAGAAAAAAATTCTCTAAAAATTCTCTACTAAAATCTTAAAACTAGTAAAATAATCTTACAACAAACTACATTCAAGCAAAATAAAAATTACCATTTTAAAAACAAGCATTATTTATGGTATTTTTAGTAAATAAATCTACTCTAATCTGAGTTTGAGTCTTTTTCTGTCAACATAAGTGTTCGACTCTGTAAAGCTGTGTGAATACTGGTGCAGCCCCTCACACTCTACTGCCCCCCCTGACCCCCCACATCCACCTGTACCTGGGATCAGCAGTTTGAGGCTTTCCAGTCTTCTATTCTTGGGTTTCATTAAACAGTCCAGTAGGGGGCGCATGAGCAGAGGTGGGACAGTTTTGCTCCCATTGAAAACCATGTAAAGTCTGTTTTGGAGTCAAAGGCTCTCCTCCTGTGCGGTGTACGGTTGTTGGAACAGTCTTAATCGGGGACACTCAATTCTAAGGGAGTATTAACAAATATTTCTCAAAACATTTCGGGCATTTTTGGAAAGAAAAACAGAAGAAATGACTGCGTTTCATTGGGGTGGCCTGCAGGGGGCGCTTATCTGGGAAAGCCCTGATCCACCTCCGCCTCATTCCAGTGATTTTTTCAAAGTGTCTTCCTTTATATGAGACCACAGTTGGAACATGAACAAACTCTGGTCTTTCTCTCTATTTGTGCGGTTGCTACAAACGTACACCGCACAAAAAGATGCTTCTTCTTCTACTATATCTCCGTGTATAAAACTGCCCCGCCAGGATACGTCACGTCCTGTCCCGTGTATATCATTCGCGCGCTGCCCTGACGTCAGATGAAACCCAAGAATAATGACAATAATGCTCTGAATAGTTTCCCCCGAGCTACAAAGCTAATGCTAATGCTAAATGCTATCTGCGATGTTTCCTCAAAAGTTGGATCTCGAGGAACAAAGGGCAAGAATGAAAGGTACTTCTTGTGCAATGAACAAATACAGAATAGATCAGAGAAGGTTTGCAAAGTAATCGTGCCTATTTACACCTTCTATACGGAATGTTGCTTTTACTGACCTCACAGTGTGTCGTATTTGCTGTGTTGAACGGTAATGCCTTAGGATTAGGATGTGATGTGACTGTTTGTAAGTGCCTTTTGGTTCGGGGAATTATTTGGACCAAATGAAATTGTTAAATGATTAAAAACTCTTTCTGAAATGTGTGAAAACATTGGTGCTGAAGACAGGAGAAAGTCCAAAAAAAAATGTAAAACCCCTTAAAACGATTAATGGCAATGTCACAATAAATTCCAACCTCAAACTACTATTGTTTCGGACTGATTTATTTAACTTTTTGTTTTTCATGAAAGTGCGTAGTCATGTAACATATGTGTGGTTCCGCAAACACTTTTAATGTGTACAACTCTATCTCTTGG